AACTCAGAAGCATATGTTAATGTAGCAGCTCACAATTGCATACTGAGGTGCTTGGGAGGAGCTGATGAAAGCAGCAGTGAACAGTGCATACCTTTTCTCCTTTAAGTTTGGGAACTACACGTTCTGTTTCCTTATCACACTTGTTTCCCAGCAGTATTATGTCCACTTCATCACCTGCTTTCTAAGGGAGAACCAGCATTACTATATGTCGAGTAAGAAAAAAAGCAAACAACAGAAGTCCTTCATCTTTAGCTCACACTAACCGTCAACATTTTATTTCCTTAAAATTAAAGGCTAAACTTTGTCCTGATCTTTTTTTCCATCAGTTGCCAGGACTCCAAGGATGATCTAAAGAGTAGAAAAAAAGCTGGTTATAGGACATAGCTTGCAAAAAGGTATAAAGTATAATGGTATGTGGTGCCTGGGCACCGTCTTCAGATGAATGTTTAATATGGCTTTAAAGTGGCTCCAAATTCACAAACATGGCCCTCCCTAAAGCAGGAGGTTTAGGGATTAGCCATTAATATTAACTGTACATTTGGTGTGCACAAGTTAAAAGGACAGACTTTGCTGCATGTGAGAGTACCTCAAAGTGCTACCCTTTTGCATAAAGTAAGATCACATTCTAATTGTTCAAGCTCAGCATTAATGTTTGATTACTCTAAGACACTTGGAAGAAGGCAATAGATTCTTAATAAATTCTTAGCTCTTAGGTTGTTCATTTTAAAGATATCACCGACTTCAAAAGGAAGAAAAATCAAGCCTTTTGATCTAGTCTCCAGCCTTTTTTCCACTAATCCTGTTACAGACATGACGACTGTGACATGCCCTGGGTGCTTTACACCAGTGTTATTTTAAGATAAGCCATTATAACCATACACTGTCGGAATAATGACAAGGGAACAGCTCCTTTCAAATGTTGAATGGACATTTGTAGGAAAAGACATAGTATTAAAAAACACTTTTTGTGCTTAAATGGAAGAAGCACATGACAATTAGTGCAAACATGGTCTCGCTTCTTACGGTCTGTATTGTGAAAGGAAACGCTCACACGGCTTCTCTGATACCTGGTGAAGTCTGGGGACAGGCTACAGGTCTTTCCTTTACAAGGACTGCAATGAAATCTTGCATCTCCACGAAAACATGTATTTTTATACTGCCTACACAGCTTTAGGATCTCTGCCTCTATTCCAAACATGATAAACACGGTCTGAAAAGTTTTCTGGAGAGAGACAATGACACAGAGATGCAGAAATACATCAACCACCCAGTGCGACTGCAGATGCCTCACCAACTTAAAAAACAATAGAAAAAAAGAAAAGGAAAACCCCGAAAATACATCATTAGAGCTGCAGTAAATTTGCAATATTGAGAGAAACGGGGGCACGGTTAGCCATGGGTAAGGAATTAACTCGCAGCTCTAACAAGTGCACCAGGCAGCACATTTGCTGTAACATACGTAAGCTCTGACACAGCTCGAGCCCTGGCAGCTCTCATCCTTGGAATCTATTCCCTAAACCTGAACCAGGTACAGAAAATCCCCTTCCCCGGAACACACATGTGCACGCACATACACACCTCCCTTCAGAGAAATACAGAGAAAACTCTTCATTAAACAGTGACAGAATCATTATTTTTAGTCTATTTGCACTTCTACAAGTAAGTTCCTTCATCTGAGGAATTCAGCAGTAGACACAATTTACTATCAAGGAACATCATTTCATTTTTTTTAACACACTCTCATTTTAGGGGCAGCTAATCTCATTTCATAAGCACAGCTGATGTCCAAGATAATGCAGTATTAAAATGAAGTAAGCTCATCATAAGAATACAAAGTACAGCCTAAAATAATGAATCAATCTAACCTGGATTAATAGACCAAAATGTTGGCTGTTTCAGAACGCATTGAGGCTTTACTCATTAAGGTCAATGGTTCCCCTACATAAAATTGCATACATCAGTCCCTAAAATAGGGTAAAGAGACAATTTCATCTCATCACATAATCAACTTTTTATTTGAAAGATTTTACCTAGCTGAGGGCTTTATAAGTGACTTTTGACTTTACTTTGATGTAAAAGGTCAAACAGAAATACTACATGCTTTCCATACAGCAACTTGAAATTAGCATTAATTAACATCGCTGCATAAAAATATGAAATTACTGTTAATATGAAATGTTATGTTCATTTATTTCTGAAAAAAGCAGCTATTTTTTGCAGTAGGAATATTCTTTCTAAACAGCTTCAAGTAATATGCAAAATTTAAAGGACATTAGGGATACCAAGCCTTTAAATAAATATTTATTTCAGTAAATATTTATTATTTATACATAACTATCATTTAATAATGAGTTTTCTTTTTGATTGCTTCTTCCAGCAAAGCCTAAATGCACTTCATTTATTAAAGAAAGGATCTTGCACTTTCTTTCTTTTAGGAAAGAAAAGGGAATATATGTCAAGATGAATATCTACCAAGAAGACCTCCAGATGGAAGTTTGGAAAAGTTCATCAGTCTGACCAAGCAGAGGTTTGACTGTGTGCTTAGCTGGCATAAACCAGCAGAAGGGCACTGAATCAAACCTGCTATAAACACGGGCCTGTAATGCCTCCAGAAACGCATTGTGTATTTGTATCTGCTTTTACTTACAGCTCAGGAATCAACCTTCCAAATGCAAAATTCTCAGCTGCAAGGAGGATGCTTATTTTATAGTTTTTAAGATGCTATTGTGCAATTCAGCACTGACTAAAATATTAGAGTAGAATAGTACTTCTAACAATTTATCAACATGAGCTGCAACAATTTTTTTTTGAAAAGTGAAGAAAAAAGTTTTTCTTTGGTATCTTTAAAAAATATATACCCAGATTTTTGTTTCACCCTCCCATGCTTTGTTTGTTTTTAACAATTTAAGTTTGAATCTAGGTGAAATTCAGAATAATCAGCATGCTCACTTGAAAATGTCCCAAAAGGAAGCCTCTCCCCCCAGACTGGAACTGTGAGATTCCTTGAGCCTGACGGAGTTTTTGGAGCAGCTGGGCTGAGCCTGGAGCACCCGGTGGTGGCGGCGGAGCCGGGGCTGGTCACCTTCTGCTCATGGGTTAGTGGGAGAAACTGTCGACTTTTAAATGGTGCAACGAGCAAAGATGGAGCAAAGAGGGATTGCAATGGTGCAATGGAGCAAAGACCTTGCCATGGATTGCCCGCCTCGACCTCCCCTGCAGTGGATTCCCAGTGATGTCTGAGTCTTCCTATAAAATCACCACGTTGTCCTTGCACAATATTTCCCAAGTATAGCTGTGCGAGGCAATATGACCTTAATAGTCACTGATCACGGGTTGAAAAGGCAACATGAGTTTGCTTGCAGGTCCACAGGAACATCGAGGACCCAGATCTGATAAACTAATTAAACCTTTTGACAGTACACTTAAGGAAGAGAAGTGGCATCATTGTCATGTTTAAGATATAGCACTGAAATAGGCATGGGCATGCAGCAAGATGGAGGCAGAGCTGGGAAGGCCGCTAAAGCCAGGAATTTTCTTCTTTTTACTCACTATATAATGGAAACAATAGAAATTTGTTCTTTCTATAAATAAAGGATTATTTGTAAGTAATATGCAGGCCTCACAATCTCTTTTACAGCAGCACATATATGGTGTTAATATTGATTTTTACACATATGTCTTTTTCCATATATTTTTCTAAGTGCCACATTATGATCACATTCACAAATGCCTAGTTTCCAGTACCTTACTGGACTTATAGAAGTGATTGAAGTTTTTTGTCTATTAGTAAATTTAGACCTTTATTTCCTTTTTAAAGGCCTAACAAAATCAACCTTTCAGAACAGCTATATACAATAGCAGACAAGAGGAACAACTTAATAAATTTGACTGACTACAGTTCCACAAGTGAGGAATGGTATCAGGCTCTAATTTTCTTGCAGTGATCACAGACTTAATGAGTGAATTACAAACCCTATATACCTGTATTGGATTTATCAACAAAGTCCTAAAATACTCCTCTGTGGGGATATTTTCCTAGTAAGGTTTTTATATACAATCATATTAGTTTCCTCTAGTTATGAATGCTTGAGCAATACAGATCCTGCAGCACATCTATGTCTGTACTATGAGAATATTAATGGTAATCGGATTATAATCAGTCTAGTTTTTATAAAATCAGCAAAGAATTTCTCTGTTAAATTGCTTAAATTTAACAAAAAATTTTACGTGTGGTAAAAATGCTGTAGTACACTGTATGGATTATTTAAGTCTTTATGTGTAAAATAAAATAAGCATAAAATTCAAAAATAAGAGTATAATGTACTAACAGAATTATTCCCCAAAATATGATCTAGGTGTAAAATTTAACCTTATTACTGCCTAGTAATTACTAAAACCCACGTCCACTTCCCCCCCCTCCTTTTTTTTTCTTTCTTCTACCCTTGCACGTTTTCGAGTGCTGTAGTAAGATCTACTTTGACCCAAATGTTTATGGTGGGTTAACAATTGGTTTGCATTTATAGACTAAAACACACGCAGGGGATGAAACCAGCCACCACTGAAATAAAATCTCAGGAAATGTGCTGTGTTTTAACAGTTACTGCTTAAAAACATTTGTTTTACAATGAATAGCCCCAAATATTTTATCAATATTTTATTGATAACGCACTAAGACTAAATTATTTATTTCACTATAAAGCTCCAGTTAAAACGTTCACTAACTGCTGGTTTTAAGACTAGTACATACAAACATTGGTACAACTTACATTGCTAGAAATTGAGTATTTTTGCATTTCTAAAATTTTAAACTAAGGAAGTGAAATTACCATATTGCATAAGAAATTGAGGTTAGGAATATGTACGTCAAGTCACAAAAAAATAAATAATTCACTGACTATCTTCATTAAAAAACTGATCACTGTTAGATATATTTACCTCATGTATGTCTTTCATCCAGCTTGCTATAATTTAAACTAAGGAAGTGTAATTACCATATTGCATACTGAGTTAACCGTAAGAAACTGAGGTTAGGAACATGTAGGTCAAGTCACAAAAAAAATGAATTTCATGTAATAATTCACTGACCATCTTCATTAAAAACATGATCACTGTTAGATATATTTACCTCATGTATGTCTTTCATCCAGCTTGCTATACCTTGAAAACTGTCCAGACTCGTGATGTCGTATACAAGAACAAATCCCTGTGCTCCACGAAAATAACTAGTACTAAGTGTATGGAATCGTTCCTGGCCAGCAGTATCCCTGAAAGAAACCGTAAAATGTCACCAAAAAAATCAGAATAAACAAATAGCAGAATTCATCCAGCCAAGGAAATGACTTTATTTTGAAGAGTACTGTTCAAATTCTGAACAGTGTGCCCTAGCATAAAAGGAGCAAGAAGAAGGAAAGCATCTGGATGTGAAATATGTGTCATTCAGCAGTGAAAAATATACTGAAAAAAATATTTTGAGTAATACCACCCTAGTTGGAAAGGTAAAGAATCGCTTAAGTTTGGTATGGTATCTTCAAGCTTATCATTCCTTCTTCAGGTATAGTGAATCAGCAAGATCAGCACAACTCTTGCCAAAAATAAATCCAGAATACAAGCACTGCGGGAGGCAGGTGGCATCCTGTATTCTGAATTTGTATTCTGTATTCTGTCATCTGTATTCTGAATCCTGTATTTGTCTTGGTGGCCCTTTGAATTATTGAGCAATGGAATCTAAAATTTTCTTACTTTGTCACTTCCCTTAATATACTGGTACAATTATATAGACTTAATATAGATCTGCATTATTTGTATGCTACAGCAGTAAAGTTTTATTGTTAAAACATCTTAGTAACAATCCTCCTTGTAACTCATATTAGTTGCTGCAAACAGTAATGTTCCCCATGCCCAAACTCAAATTTTCAAATGATCTCTTGCAATCAAAGGCAGACTGGACTTTGCATGTTGTAATATAATTCAGCTGCATTTCACTTGTGATATAAATTAAAACTTACCATATCTGAAGTTTTACTCTGGTATCATTAAATACTACTGGCTTTACTTTAAAATCAATGCCTAAAAGAAAAACAAAAAAAAGAAAATCCATCATGTGTTAATTTTAAAGGTTGTTTCTAATCTCTAATTATTGTGCAGATTTGAAGAGGAAGTAGAAAGGAAATAAATCAACAAAGAATATATATTCCATGCGTTGGAACTGTATATATGGAAAATGGAAGCTGCAGAAGGCAGCTACTCAGTGGTAAAAACTCCCAGGCATTAACACATCACACAAAAGCAACAGAGAGGCAGGTCAGAGGTACAACTGCAAACTACAAGTCCAGATTTCCCTTAAGCACAGGGACACAGTTTGGTGGCCCATTCACAGTAATATTTGGCAAAGATATGGATGATTCCAGCTGTTTCCAGTTCCATTGCAGCAGCGTGGCAGCTATGAATGGGAAGCTAGTGCCAAATGCTCACAAGGCTGTTACTTGCACAATGCCATTTTTTCTCTTTACTGCCAAATTGCTAAAAATTCCTAAAATTACAAGGACAGGAATAAAAATTAGCTACACTGGTTAAACGCAATGATGAGCATCTACTAAATTTTGTTCATATTTAAGAGTGTCTCTGTAGTCTTCTGCATCCCAAATCTAGAGCGTTAATGCTACAACTAGGCATTAGCAGTCAGCACAAAGTCAGTGTTGCATGTTCCTGTAAGAAATTTCATTGTAATTTATAATGGTTGTCTTTATATCAAATTAGTACTCCAAATGTGGTAAATGATACCTGGATTTATGGGTTGTTGAAGCTCCAAACTTAACATTTGAAAACACATCCTGTCAATTGCTATCTCAATGTAGTGACTCAGTATTATTTAACAATTTTTTTCTCAGTTACTTTATTGCTGAAATTCAAGATATTTCTAATTATTTCTCCATTTACTTCATTCACTGAAAGACAATGAGAGTATTCTTCAGCTTTATTAAGCAAGATAGTATTGTGGTAGCCAGCCAGGCTGTATTTCTCACGGAACAAAGTCAAAATGTAGCTACATAACATGGATTTTCTCCTGTGGCAATGTCATTGGAAAGAACTTAAAGGTTTGCCAAAGTGCAGCCTTTGCCTACCAGGAACACTGCGTGTTACAGTGATACAGCTAAGAGATTTTGCACAGAAATTCAGGGAAATTTAGAACAAGACTTTGTTGAGAACCACATCAATACCAGCAGACAAAGCATGCCTTAAACCACCATCAAAACAAGCATAGGTAAGGAAATGTGCTGTACTTCAAGCACTGGAAGATATCTTCTCCTACATTGCCTTACACAATGGTCATACGACACGATTTGAAGTTTCTCAGAAACCACTGTTCTCAATCTCAAAAAGAAAAATATATATGTATATAAACCTTTATAAATTTCCTCCTTCCCCTTGATTGTGAGCAATAAGCCACAGCAAAACTCTGTCAACTTTGACATTTCTGAAACAAATGCCTTTGTAATTCTCCTAAAATAGGCACCTTCTGACCCAGAAAGCTCACCTTACGCTCGGGCAGCCTCCTTCGCTCCTCACGCTGCTCCCCTGCTCTCTGCAGCGCGTGACAGAAAACTTGGGTCTCCTACACTCACTAACGCAATCTAGAAGGAGGCAGCTCCGTCCTTGGTGGCCTCAGGCCTTGGGGACCCACGGTCACGCTCCAAGGTTGTGACGGGGGTCTGGGGAAGGGGCTCCCACCCCCGTGTCCAGCACGTGGCCATCGCCGCGTGGGCCTCACCACACAGCCCCGGCTGTGGCGCAGGCCCAGGGGAGACCGACGGCCTCAGAAACGGCCTGCTCAAAAGCCCCTTCCCTTTCCCCTTTGCATTCCTGGGTTGAGTTTTCTGTGTACTCAGAAAACATCAAAATATCTGGTGATATATAATCCAGGAGCTTTCATTTCGAGTTTTTATGTTGAAAAGCTTCATGACGTGAGGAAAGACGTCACTTTGCAGTACTGTTAACTAGCTACCTGTTTGATTGTAAACACACAATACCACTATTCTTCTGCTTCCATGCTTTCTGTAAAATCCAAGGCAACTTTTTACAAAATCAACAATTTTGCATTAGTACCATTGCAGTGATTTCTATCAGACTCCGACTGCCAATTACTTTATCAGAGGAAAGCATTCATGGAAATAAAATAAAATAAAATAAAACTGCGGTAGAGGAAACGCTCCCTTTCTTTTTATTTCCTGGTGTATTTTGCGTACAGCTTTGAAGAGTTTGTTCTCACACTCAAGAATCCAAAGGTACTAACATTTCATACATGCATAAAAACTTGGGTGAATTTTTACAATTATTATGATAATCATGTCCTTCACTTGATGAATTCTCATTGAAGCTTCAATGGAAAAGGAAGATGAAATAATATAATTCTTATCTGTAATTAATATTATATAAAGCTTCCTTGATGAAATTAATAATGTTAGATGGTAATTTGATTTAAGCCAAATATGCTTATTTTCTCACGTAAGGTGAAATTTAAACTTTAAGGAAAACATATGCTCTTGCATTTCACACAATTTTGTTTAATTATCTGTATCGCTGTCTATGGCTAATATTAGAACACTTGAGAATGAACTGGGAATATGGAAAAAAATCTAATCCAGCTAGAGATTTCCAGACTTAAAAGAAACTGTTTTTTATTTGACATACATTGTAATAATAAATTGACATAAGCTTTTTTTTTTTTTAATTTATAATAAAAGAAGCAGAGTGCTGAATCAGACTAAAATTTAATCTAAATTAAAATAAGGCATATTGACTTCTTAAGTCAACTTCAAAATTTATTGACCTAAAAGGTCAATGAATGTTAGTGAAAAACAGAAGTCAATATGTTCTGCATGCATGATTTGTTCATGTCTTTATATGAAATTTCAAGCAAACTTAGCAAATTGAAAAGGCAAAAAAGAAAAATGAGGAATACAGGGCCAAAGACAGCTCACAGATTTCGGATGATTTTAGGCCCATGTATTACACAATATGATCAACATTACAAAGCTAACATTGATTACCACTTTTGAGATGAATGTTATTTAAATGCAAGCATGTGCTTGCTTCTTTTAAACTGTCAAATAAAAACAAGAACGGGTACACCGAGTAAAAGTCCAAATTCTGGTTGTTGTTGCAAGATATTACAGCTAAATGACTTATTCTTTTTTTTTCATTATATTTAAAATAATGAATATGTCCATATTAGGACTGAAACAACTTAAATACAACTAGATCTAGGAAGCATTAAAATAGTCAACCCAAAGGAATTCAGTGGCGAGTTGCTTGTCTCACCCCTCAGGATCTGCAAAAAAGTCTTCAGCCATCTGCAAAACTCTTCTTCCAAGAGGTGTGGAAGCAGATAAGCTTCTTGTGCTTGAGTATTAGAGCAACAAAGATGATTAAGGGCCTGGAGCATCTATTTTATGAGGAAAGACTAAGTGAGCTGGGCCTGGTTAGCCTGGAGAAGAGAAAATTGAGAGGGCACCTGATCAATATGTATAAGTATCTGAGGGGAGAATGTAAAAAGGATGGGGCCAAAGTCTTCTCGGTGGTGACCAGTGACAGGACAAGGGGTAACGGGCACAAGTTGAACCCCAGGCAGCTCCATGTCCATGTGAGGAAGAACTTCTTTGGTGTGAGGGTGCCAGAGCCCTGGCACAGGCTGCCCAGAGAGGCTGTGGAGGCTCCTGCTCTGGAGATCTCCAAACCCGCCTGGATGGACCCTGTGCCCCTGCTCTGGGTGTCCCTGCTGGAGCAGGGCTTGGACTGGGTCATCTCCAGAGGTCCCTTCCAATCTCAACCATTCTGTATGATTCTGTGAGTATGATAAGGTCCCAGTCATTGGTGAGGGACTCAACTGTGTTGACTAATTGTAATTTGATCTACAGAGCTATCTAAGGAAGGGGAGGCCTGGAATACATCAAGACTGTCAGCAAGAACCAGTAGTCACTACAACAAAACCCACATTACTGCCTCCTTTAATACTGCCTGGTCACAGTCACTTTTGGTCACTTCTTGTGGGGGACGGAGGGGAGTGGACATGTCAAGAAGTATCTGAAGCCAAGTAGCAGCTGCATAGCCAGGTGTAGCATCAAACACCGCATCGGTAAAGAAAGCAACCCAAGGGATCAGATCTTTTGCTAGGAAAGTAAAATTGACAAAAATCTAGTCTTGTAAAAAGGAAGAAAGAAAGAAAGAAAAAAAGGTGGTTTCCTATTAGCATTGGTAACACAGGTCATATTTACCTTCAATATCCAACTTTTTTGTTTATTAATTCTACCTTATTTCTTTGTAGTGTGAATATAAGGGAAAATTCAAAAACTTCAGAACTTTTTTTTTGGCAATTTCACTCCTAGGTCTTGTATTTTACTCATAGCAAATCATATCCTCTTTTTTAACATAGGCATTAGAAAGCAAAAGGATCCTTTTGAAGAAAAAATCAGAAAAAAAATCTTTCTTTTTCAAAGTAGAAGTGGAAGTTTAAATGCTGGAAGTGGGAGTTGCACCAATTTCAAATATGAAGGTTTGGCAAAGACCACATCTCTACAGAAATCTTGCCACAGGGTACATTTTTTTGAGGTACTGTGGCCAATGCAATACAGCAAAATAACAACCTATTGGATCAGCACCTTGTTCACTTGTATGCAGAAGGAGTTTTTTTTGTCCGTAAAATAGGGCTTTCTATACAATACCATTGTTAAAAAAAACAGTTATTCTTCATAGGCTGCTATAGTGTATTATTCATAATACAATGCATCTGCCTTATGATGCATATAAGTTTAATTAGAAAACTATAACTGCTTCTAATTCACCCAAGCTGCGTAATTGAAGAGGAGTAAGGGCACCCATCCTTGGGTGTTTAAGTGCTGCATAAAGTGCTTTCAATGAAAATTCACTGTGAATGCATTCTCTTTTTTCTATTTCAAAAAATACATGATTTTAGAAAATTTCACAACTCAAACATACTAGATGCAACTAGAAAAAGTGAGAAAAGTCTTTTTTTTTTTTTAAATAAGGCTAGATTTTTTTTTCTATCAGCACAAACTTTCCGAAAGGGCCTCTCAACAGCACCCAGGCAGCCCTTAACTTCTGTGACTACTACCCTCCACCAGCACAGAAACGTGGTGATAAAAGATCTTGTCAGGCAACTCAAATACCTGAGAAACTAAACAGCCTGGATAATGGTCTCCCTATTTTAATCAATGTTCCAGCTGGACAGATAGGGTGAAAAAAATCAATTAACATCAGACGAGCATTCAGTAGAGTGACTAAGAATGTATGAAACGGGCATGCAAATGAAAAGAGCTGTTTGTTCTGATGGTGTCAACGAAGTGCAAGAAGACATCACGAACAGAAAATGCGAAATGCTGCAACGCACCTGAAGCTTCTTCTTACAGACCTTTCCAAAAACATAATACCAAGACTTCACCACCTGCGCTGCTGTAACTGCCATAGTGGACAAGAAACTTCCATTTTTAACACTACGATTTTAAAAGTCATCAATGAACAACTCCATTCATTTTAAAAACCTAAGCTCTGACAAACTTGTAAAATGGAACTAAATCGAATACAAAATTCAAGAAATTACTTTGAAATCACATTCAGATAACAAATACCTAGATTCGAATGACTTTTACATGGCAGATAGACATATGTTAAAGTTTTTAAACCCCTAAATGACTTTTACGTAGCAGATAGACAGACATATGTTAAAGTTTTTAAACCCCTCAACAATAGGTTTTGAAAACAGCAACAAAGTTCATCTCAGTCCGTAATGGCCACAAAACTGATTCATCTTAACTATTCTTTAAACTATTTCACACCTTGGAAATCAGAGCACAAACGATTCTGTCTCAAAATAATAATCTCAAAGATAAGAGCCTAAAAACACCATCACTAAAGCTGACATTTATTTTAATGGGCATTTCTTGGGACCTATCTTAGGCAGTGTAACAAATTGCCTTTTACAAGGATAAATTTTCACTATATTTCTGCTGGTCGTATTCTTCCCTTTTTGTTTATGTTCGTTCAGAAGATGCTTTGCAGGAATATGCAAGGAAATAAAAAATGGTTTGAGTTCTGTCAGTTCTCATGTGGGCAGGTCAATAACTTCATGCCCATTAAGCATTCCCTCTTACAGAATAGGACCAACTGCTGCCACAAGTGCTACCTACTACATACTTGGTAAAGCAAAATCCTCCTACACTGAGGAGTGCATCAGCACCTTGCACATTCAAAACACAGGAACAAGCCATTTCTCGTGCATACTCTACCCTTCCATTAAACTGCAAAGAAAATGAAAAAAAAATGATTACAAACATGCAAAACCATGTTTAAAAATGAGGATTTTCCACTCAGAAATCTGCAGTATGTCCGTAGCAAATAACGCCCACACATTGCACATTTTGCAGACGCTGCTGACCGTGTCCAGCACATGGACAGGGAGCTGGCCCTTCCCCGTGGGGACGGGGCCCTGCAGCAGCGCCGCAGGGGAACGGCCGAGCGGGCAGCTCCGGCAGAGGGGCAGGGAAGGCAGCAAGAAACCAGCTCGCTGTCGCAGGGCTCATTATTTCCATGGCAGCAGTGGCTCTACGTTAATAACCACACATGGAGCCATCTACGGGAGAAGATAACTTGACCCGTCGGTGCCCTTTATACCATTAAAATCTACTAATACAGAGTTAGGGGCACTTGGGGATGGGGCACAGCAGGGTGTCCCTTCGGG